TGGGTGGGTGTGTGTGAGAGAGAAACAGAATGTGTGTATGTGTGTGAGGGAGTGCATGTGTGTGTGTGTGTGTGTGTGTGTGCGCGGGTGAGTGTGTGAGGGAGTGCATGTGTGTGTGTGTGTGTGTGTGCGAGTGTGTACACATGCATGTGTGGATGTACGGGTGTGCGCATGTGATAGAGAGTGTGTGTGAGTATGCGTGTGTGTGTGTGTGTGTTCGTGAGAGAGAAAGAGTGTTTATTCATACATTTTGCTATGATTAATAAAATAAATTTGTCTAAAAGTCTTTGCTGCAAAGTGCATTGAGCATTCACAACGTAGAAATGTGTTATAATAATGTGAAGTATTATTATCACTGAATGAAAAAAATTAACAGTGCAATTAATATGTAAAACAAGAACAAAATGTCTAAAAGATTCCATAGAATTGGTACTGGAGGATTTGCCATTTTAAAAAGTTAAATATTCTACCCCATGAACAATGCTCTATATCACACAGTCACACAATGATCAGTCTGCTTTGAAGTTTTTCCAGGATTTACTACTATCAAGTACATCAAGTACATCTTGAAAAAAACTGACAAAAAGTGGTACTGTCCAAGACATGAGTTTGGGCTGGACTTCTTACCAGCTTTACATACAAAAATGACTATCTTTTCACAGCCTGTGGCCTTGTTACAAACGAAAGCATTCAAAACACCACAAGAGTGAGTTGAAACAAACTCCAGGCAACAAATTAAATAAATATATAGCTCTTCAGCAAACAGCCATAATACATTGAACAGTTTAATATTAGATAGTTACTTTTAGTAGAGGATTTTCAGCGCTCGCAACTGCATAAGGTCATACGAGCGCCAGAAGATTAGAGGTGTTACAAGAGAGTAACAAACATAAAAAAGAAAAAGGGGAGATAAGGACGATAGATGTTTGATAGGAAATAAGAAGTAAACCACACCAGAGCACCCGCCAACCACCCACAACATTAGATACAGGAAGGCTGAGATCCACCTGGGAACGAGGTCTGGAGGAAGATCTCAGTCAGATAGGGCATAGTTAGCTGGAGGTAGAGAAAACCACCCAGAAAATAAACAAATGGACAGCCCCACTCTGCCACCCACGCCCAATACCAGGGTGAGAAGTGAGAGAGGCAGATGAACATTAGATACACAATACATTAAAAGGGTAAAAAGCTACGAGATAAACTGCATCTTCTGAAAACACCACAGCTTACCTGGCATCTGCCACAAAAGGAAACACTCCATTGTAAAAGAACATGATCGCCAGAGCTACCATCCAGAAGGACAGAGACATACGTTTGATGTCAGTGATTTTCTGAAACGAAAAAAAAAAAGATATCCTTGAATATAATGCAACTAAAGAAATTCTGTGATTTGAGAGGGAAAGGCCGTTTTCCAAGATGTGATTACTCTGTTGATAAACAACATTGAGGTTTGAAGCTCATCAGCATTATTTCAGCCGATAACGCCCCATCAAATGGGAGAAAAAGTCAAATCTTGATATGCTACAGATGAACAAAGTGTGGTAAGAAGTATTTTAGTCGTAATCCTGTGACTACAGTCGAACCTGCCCTGATGGCCACCTCTATAAGACGGCCACCTGTACAAACGGCCACTTTACATTTCCCCCCTTGCGTTTTTTCGATATAATTTAACTGTAAAACGAGCACCTGTTCAGCGAGGCCGCAGCCACAATATTTTAACACACAACCCTTATAACACCAAACAATAACACCTGTCTCAGACGGCCACCTAAGTGACCCTATTACGTTTTGTCATAAATTGTGCATTGGCCCCTGGCGTTGAGGGCGAGCCGTCATAATCAAACCACCTGTCGTTGTTGTTAGGTAGTCCCTCCAGCCGATCATGTTGCGTAGGCCCCTCCCACTGTTGACCAGCAAGAAACAAATTTTCAGCTGCTGGTGAGGTAAGCGTGAGATTCCTTATAACCCATGAGCCCCGCCCAGAACTCATACACAAATCGTAAGTGAGATGCGAGGTCACTGTTTACCCAGTCTGTAACAAAGTAACAATGGACGTCAACATGAACTTATGACAGAAGTGTCACTCATTCTCCGAGCGGTGGCGACCCTTGTGTTTGTTTTACCATAGCACTCCGTCCTCCTTGTCTGACACATTTCGTTATATAGTCACCCTTGTACAAAAGCAGCAACAAAACAAAAAAGAAAAAGATAACCCCAGCGAAAACAACAACAACAATGCAGCCACCTTCGGTTGGGACCTCAGAAAGGAATTGTTCTTTTCTTCATCTTGATCAGTCCTGCCTAAGACGGCCACCTGTCCTATGCGGCCACTTTTCTCCTTGACAATGGATGGCCGTTTTACACAGGTTCGACTGTACTTTAGATATTCTATAATGGATCTAGAAACAAACCACTGTCATATTTAGGTCGTGTTTTAAATCCAGCCATAAGATTTAAATTTGCAGTCATTTTCCTGAGCATCAACTCACCAACTTTTTCGATTCCACTTTCATGGCACCGTCATCTCCTAACTGGTGCACACCATAGCTGTCCAACACGGACACAATGATTGCAGACAGGAAACCAACAAAACACAGTATAGCCCCTGAACGAAATAAGGCAGATAAAAAGACATACAATGAATTTTAATGATAAGGTGTTCAAAAGAACTTACTTTTTAAAAATGAACATTTCTCAAATGATTAGGTTCAGAAAAAAGGCGTGCTGTTTACAAGCTGATAGAAATTACTATGCCACTGAACTTTTTTTCCTTTGAAACGCCCTTTAGAATTTATGAAGACCAAGCTGAAGCTCAAGATAGAAAGAATCTGCTCCATCTGTCACCATCACTAGGCACTGCCATAGACAGAAGGAGTTCCAATTAATGCCACCAGCGGTCACCACCTTTTCCTATCTGCTGGACTGCAGACCTCAGTGATGTCGGTGATGTTGGATGTAGGTGTGGTCTGCCTCTTTTTGTTTCTACCCTCAACCTTGCCTTCGAAATTTGTTGTCATCAAATTTGTTTATGTGCTTCTGTTTCCGTGTGTCTTTGTATTTAAAGTTCATTAAGAGTGTTTTGACTTGTTCTTCTAAGATTGTATCTGTAACATATGAAGAGAAAAGAATAAGAAGCAACAAAAAAACAAGAATCAATTACACAGTTGCATCCCTTCATTAATACATGACAACATGGGTAGGGGGAGATAATTTTGCTCAACATACTAATATCAGTTATTCCAAAATCATTCCAAGTCTTTAAAAAACTGCTTTCTTTTCCAACATGGCCGGTGCATTAGTTACACAAAGTAAATTTGCTAACCTGGGCAATTAATTTTCCTTGAAATAATATGGTACCAATTCATGTCTTCTTTCTTTCTTCATTCTATCTATCCACCAACTGTCTTAAAATATCACACACAAAACCCATTTTCATTTTACTGTTACTATTTAGTCTGGATTTGCTCCTTTGGCTTTTTGCCCTGACTTTTCTGAAGGTTGCTACTATGAGACGAAGTAAACAAGCCATCTCCGATAAAAATGTTTTCTGGATTTAATATAGATAACATCTTATTTCCCAATGTCACCAAGAAGACTACATTTGAAGAGAATCCCTCATTGTAAGCGAGCTAGAAATAAGAATCAACCATTGTCATATTTCACACATTTTCTAAAGCTATGTTTGTAAAATAGAAATAAAAAATACTTTCCTTATTGAAAGTATAATGATATAGAATGAAGAAAATCAAATTAGAAAACTCTTTTCCAATTACAATCAGCTGACAAAATTGTACACACATGCCAGCTTTTAATATCTTCCATCTTGAGGTTTCCTTATAAATTGATTCAACAACTACATAAGTATAGTGCTACAATATTGTTCAACCTGTTTCAAAATGCTTGCAAGCCATAACGCAATTAATAACGCTGAACGCAGATGACAAATGGAATGTTAATTTTTATATCCACATAAACACAAGTTAAATCAACATGACTGCCAACTGATTTTTTTTAATTTCCAGGAGTACATAATGGTGATGCTCACACACTCACACACACACACACACACACACACACACACACACACAAACACACAAAGCAAGAAAGCAGAGATACAGTATCGTACTCCATAAGGTAGCTTCCCCAAACAGGACTCATGTTTCTTGCTTGTTGAGTAGAGAGCCTCACCCCCCACAAAATAGATAATAACGCTATAAACTTATAATCAAATACAAGGACAGCACATCAACAGAATCAAATTCACACATAAAATAAGAAACAAACAACAACAAAAAATAGAATGCTGCCAAACTATTTTGTCATCCTCACTCACCTCCCCACAAGGTCCAGGTGAGACCATGGGTTTCCTCAAATGACTGCGTGAGGAAAAAGTTGAGCACACTGCCCAGACGTGAGAAAGCCAGGGTGATACCAAAGGCCATTGCCAGCTCCTTGTCTTTGAACCAATAGGCTGTGATTCTGTTCTGCACAACTGGAACATTCATCAAAACCAAGCATAAAAATACGGCTCTAATCAAATGGATTTGTTCCCACAGTACCAAGTGATCATTTAATGAACAAGCACATTATGAAAAAGTCAGCCTGGAAAATAAATCCACTGTCTACAAGTCAATTTACAGCACTACACAATTTCATCAGATACCGACTTCTGTGTTTTCATAAATCAATACATTAAAGTCTGCTGTACAGGATGTAATAAAGACGTTAAAACTTAATAGGATGATAGAACACCTTTTTTTAGCTTAAACAATATATTATGTTCTTTTACACAAGCATAAAAATTGCAACAAAAGAAGAAAAAAAAAAAGAAAACATCAGCATATTGGTGAAGGAACAATATCAACTTTCATCTCCCCCTAAATGAAAACACGGGAAGTCCTCAGCACAATACCGTACCCTATTCAGCCCCGGAAATTTATCAGCTATAGCCTGAGTACTTTGCAGCCATGAAATAAAACTTGTTCAAGGACTGACGCAGGCAGTATTGCATACAGACGTATCTCAAAGGCCGTCAAATAGTTCTGTTGAAATTGTCCAAGAAGGACATGTTTTGCAGAGGGGGAAAGTGGGCCTCTTGGACAGGTGGGTGTCTAGGACAGTGTCATTATAATGTAGAAAAAACACAAGGGGGACAAGTGGGAAGTGGTCATTTGAACAGATGATTGTCTTTGACAGGTGGCCATCAGGTTTAATTGTATAGGCTTTATATTGGAGTACATGCTATATCTGGACTTGTGCCTACTGTTACAAACTTACTGGTGAGAGATCCGTTACCAGAGCCAAACAACAGACGACCAATCAACATCACTGGCAGAAGAGCAGATGTGCCCTTGAGGAAAGCTCCGGCAGCAAAAGTTGATGATCCCAGAAGACAAAGGGAGGAGAAGAGAAACACTCCAACTGAAATTTTAAGAACACAAACCAAAAAAAAAATGTGAGATAATAATAATAATAATAATAGATAGCATTTGTATCGCATAAATTCCTGCTCAACGTCAAGCTGTAGGTGCTTTACAGTCTGTATTATTACCCTAGCAGACCTGGTAGCAGTCTGAAACAATCTCTACTTCCTGGAAAGCATACAGTGCAAGCTATCATTTAACCGGCGCTAAAATAATAACATGCTGATAAGTATGGAACAGTGTTAGTCACATAAGTGCATCAAAATACATGAGCTAGCTAATTTATTTTCCTCTATGACTTACAACAACAATAATCTAGAGTCAAATAATTTGTATACAATTATAAAGGTCGCTTCGGGTAAACATTTAAAAGTGTTTTTGTTTTTCCTTTTGAATGGTTAAACCTTTTCCGAAAAAAAAAATGTACATGAGTTCATTTCCCACCATGATTGTGTTAAATTAATCCTTTATTGCTTTGGGAGCTGTCCTGGTACATGTCCTGAATTCCTATAACAGGGGGGAAATAATACCATAAAATATCATACATTGTTTTAAAAAATACATTTTCTACAAATTTTTCAACAAACTGATCTGGAAAAAACATGAACTATGTACGGAAAAGAAGACTGGTTCTGACACACCTGTTTCCCCTGCATAATTATGGGAAAGTTATTTATTTCTCCAGCTCTGTAGTTTATGACTATCAGTTTGCACTCATTGCTCACCTATGTCGTCAAATCAAAATGTAATGAAATGTAACTGCTTCTATGAATAAAAAATATGGTATTGTGTAAGATCATGAAATAAACTTTGAACGTGTCTTGAGTTTGATTAGGATCGCTTCATGGGCTGAGTCTTTGTGTATTTTCAAAGATTTTTACAGATTTGTGCAAATTTTAACTTCTGATTCTAACATAATCAATGGAAAATCTGCCAACAGATCATTTTGCTCTAATACTTTATGAAATTTGAAATGCCATTTCAATGGTTAGTTTTTTTTTATTCATAGTGCTCTTTCATTCATAAAGTGATGTGCATGTCTTTACCCATTGTGCTGTGATAGAATGAATGTTTGTTTATTTGTTATCGTTAAGCTGAAGAGTGTATATAATGCATGTTCACTCACTTGTGTTTTGTGTTGGAATGAAAGTATTGTAAATTGCCTAGAGCTGTAGTGTATAGGAGTAGGTGCTACAAAAATTATCTTAAATATTGTTCATAATAATAAAGATGAGAAGAACACAGGATTCTTGGTCTATTAAAAAAAAGATGCCCAACCCAGTAGAGCAAGCATATCAAACCACTTGCAAACTTTTGTAAATGGTCCTCAAGGTATAGATCTATTGAAGCCTCTAGTGAGCTGCTGATGGCAACACATTCAGGCACCTATAGTTGGTAAACGGTTAAGAGGGCCTAAATAAGCTCAAAGAAAGAACTATTCACAAGCTCATTACAAAAAATAAATAACTTGTCAGCACGGTACATGTGTTATTTTTCTGCTTAATTAAAAGTACTCATTTTTCATCCTTTACACAAAAGTTTAACCACTCACCTCGGTTCCCAAGCTTGTCTATCAGAAAACCAGCCCCAATGACTACCACAGCATTGCTGAAAATACAAATGAAACAACATTTCAACTTAAGCTTCTGATTGCTTTCATCAGTTCCAGTAACAGACTGCATACCTGTACCTAGTTTCCCTCAAATAATAAAGTGAAACAGAACGAAGTTGCTTACTCTAAAACATAGCTAAAAATGAAAGAAAAATGTACAAACACTTACGTCCACGCGTAAATGGCATACAGTAGATTGTAGTTCGCATCCGACATGCCCAAACAATCTGTACAGTTGTTACAATAGACATCGTCCATCTCAGTGTAGGTATAGCCTGATCCATTGGTGCAGTTGTTCACCTGAAGTCAACAAAACAAAATAGTAAATACATTGTAATAATCATTATTTGGTGATGTTCAGGAATTAAAAATACAGTTGAACCTGTTCTAAAAGCCACATACCTGAGACAATTTTTTAAAATGAAACAACAAAATCTCTCCTCTTCATCTGACCCTCAGCCCCCAACTCATGGTGTGTCCAACATACATCAAGTCCTTTGCAGTTTATTCTAAAGACACATTTGTTCAACACTATGCTCTGCCAGTAAATTTTGTATGTGTATGCATGTGTGTTAGTGCAAGCGTGTGTGTGTGTGTGTGTGTGTGTGTGTGTATGCTCGCGAGTGTGTGTGCATGTGTTTGTTGAAGTTGTTAAATATGGCTGGTCTCACCATGTGCATTTTCAGTCATTTGATTTGTAAATTAAGTAATAATAATTCCCAAAAATGTTATATTATTATGAGTACTAGGATATAGTGACACTGAAAGTTTTAAAACTCTTAGAATTCAGTGAATCTACTTGCTATATGCTGCAATTTTGTTTTCTCTTGTTTGCCTAATTAGCCAGAAAAATCTCTGAGCCTGCACTACAACATTACTGTATCCTCATATATACTAAACCTTCATTCTTTCACCAAAATTTGGCCGAGGTAACAAAAACTTGCAGCTTGAAAACTAACTTTTATTAAGCTGAAATTGCCAACGTATTTATATTTCAAACTCATCTTGATGCAACAAAATAGGAAATACACTTAACACTTACCAGTTGTAATATATTTGCTTTGTACCACTAAATATAAGTACTACAGAATATATGACTATGAATTCTTGAAGGTATATGAATGTCTAATTTTACTGTAAAATGCACAGTAAAAAGCTAGGTACAACCTCTAATAAAATCAGAGCATGCATATATTTTAATAAGGCTACTTACCTCTGTGAAGACATCCTGCAGGACACTTGGCATGTCAAAGCAAAAGTATGACCCAAAGGTCAACATGCAGTTGAAGAACAGGACCAGGAAACGGTACCCGCCTGTTGAAAAAAAATACAACATGAATTATTATATATTATTATAACAACAAAACAAAAACAGTATGCTATCAAACTTTTTAGGCAAGATACAGTGGTACTTTAAGTAAATTAATCTGCATCTAATCTTCACCCTCGTTCCATCTCAAGAATCAGCTTCTTTACTCTTCTTTTTCTTCTGTGGTCCTTTACAAATGGCTTCAGAGTGTCAGTCCCATGCTATTGAAGAAAGTCAAGCACCATTAAAGTATGTAAAATGCTCAACAGAAAAATCATCTGCTTATCAATAGGTCTCAGTGCTCGAGGCTTCAGCGAAGCTGGAAGTGTAATTCAGAAAAAAAATTTAAAGGATAGATAATAATTAATTGATTGCCACAAACAAACATTTGCTACCGCATGGTAAATGGTACATATAAACCCACACACTCATCAACACACTTTTGTCAACTCTCTCTCTCTCTCTTTCTCTCTCTCACAATTAATAAGACTACTAATGTATACATAACGTTATGGCTGCTTCACTTCCTTTTCATGCACTACAGAACCTTATGATCAAAACAGGGCACTAAGACTTAGTCTAAACTTAGAATTTAAACAATATATAGAGGGCTCTCATAGCCTAGAGGTTAAGGTGTTGGCCTCTCATTCAAAGGTCCTCGGTTCGAATCCGGGTAGTGACTTAAAAATTTTCTTCTCCAAAATTGTCTCCTTTCACCTCCTTTCCTGCTCTCTAGCAATGTTCTGTCGTCTGTTTTCGTCTCCGTCTCCTCTTTCTGCCCCTACCCCCTCACCTCCTTTGCCCCCTCCTCTGGGCTCCTAACTCTTTCTGTAGCTTTTCTACTGCTACTCCTTGGCTCCTTCTTACTGCTGTCTTTCAGCCACACCCCTTATCTTCTTGTGGGAAAGGGGGATTTACAGTATACAATCTTAAAGCATATTTAAAAGTTTAGGCCGACATATTTTCCTCGACACCATACTTTAATGTGCACCTTAAAAACATGATTCAAGAGACGGGGTGAGTAACTTTCGAGACCGTCAGGGAAGGAAATCTAATGCTCCTTTCACTGAAAAGTGGGGGCAGGGTGATGTTGCTGCCTCGTCCAAATGAACAATTTACAGGCAATTTTACTGTCACTATTTTAGTGATTCTATGTATGCGTCCACTTTATTTAAACGGAGTGTCTACGTACACGGTAACCGGGCACCTAGTCTCAGTATCTACGTACACGGTAACCGCATTTATTTGTGATGCGAATGCGCACAGGTTCAGTGACCGGTCACGATGGCGAGCCCGACAATCTAAAAACCGGACGACGCTTGTATTTTCTTTTCTTTTTTTCCTACAAGTAACAGCACAGAGACAAATTCGAGAAATTTTATTTGCACGGCAACACAGCGTTTACACTGCACAACCTGCATGTCACAAATAAGTTGCGTTATCAGTCCACCGCTTGCAAACTTCTCGGTAGTAACGAAAGCGAAAGTAGATCTTGATTTTCCCGATCAAGCCTCGGTGTCACATACATTTCCGTCTGCCGCCATAGCCGCCTGTTCGCGTGAAAGTAAAACGTACTTCCGGAGGAGGAAAAGCTAAACGAATATTATCACAATCGCGACCAGCAAAAATGAACTTACTGACCTTATAGGACTTGGTTTTCAAATATTCCAGTTCCGCTATACTGATACTATTCTGACAAAAGAGGGGATGTGTGTTAATTAGGACACTCGCCCAAACTGGATCTCATATTTTTCGCATTCCAGGATGCGTATTTTTTCATGAAAAGTCGTATTCGCGTATTTGCGGCAAAAAATCGTACTAAAATACGTAAAATCGTACTGGTTGGCATCTCTGTCTCAGTATCTACGTACACGGTAACCGGTAATAAAATAAATCAATATTTTTCCTGTGCTGTCACTTGCTGAAAAAGAAGAAAGTCATCTTGTCGGGCTCGCCATCGTCACAGGTCAGTGAACCAGTGCGTGTGCATCACATTGTGAGTACCTGTTGGGGTCACCAAAGTTCATTCAAAGTCTGTGCGCTGCAAAGTATATAGGAATTAATGATTTTTTTTTAAGGTACAGTCGGGGGACGGGTGGGGATGAAGGCAACGCCAGATGACAAAAACTGAACTTGGAGTTCTGAACTGCTCGGTTACCGTGTGCGTGACACCAGAGATAGTCTCTGGTGACACTGAGACTACATGCCCGGTTGCCGGTTACCGTGTACGTAGACACTGAGGCTAGGTGCCCGGTTACCGTGTACGTAGACACTCCGTTATTTAAATAGGCCCAAAGAGACAAAGTTTCATATATACATAATCATGGGCATATGTATAGATCAAGGTAAACTAATAAATGAGCTAGATCTAGATCTAGATCTAGATCCAAACAGACAAAAGTGAACAATCTATACTATAGATCTAGAACTAAAACATCTAATTAAATATGAACTTTATTTCTTGTACGTGGGACAGACTTAGATCTAGGTCTAATTGTGACTCACTTATTACAACTACAACATGAAGTTAAAAGTGGGATCGTTCGTCTATGCTAGGCTATGTATGGACAAAAGTACAAATCAAGATCTAGATTTCTAGGTGTAGATAGAATTTCCATGGCCTCCTGAAAAAGCTTTTAGAAGCTATGGATGCTGTTTGTTAAATTATGCAAATAAATAGTGATAACTTTGAATCAATGGAACCAAAGTAATATTGAAAAGAACAGGTCATAAAAACTCACAGTCAGTCGCTTGTAAGCACGCCATTTTGTCAGTTTACTCTGATCACATGGGCTATAATCACGTGACTCGACTCAACCTGACAAGGATTATTATACATTTTCCTACTGCGTTTATACAAGCTCAGGTGGTTGTCATGGGGCTATTATAATAATTGTTTTCGGGAAAGGGTGTCTTGGAAGTACATGTACGTGTTGTCCAAATTGTCCCGTTTGGTCTCTTGCTGTAGCAACTTTCTTATCAAACGTAAGCTTTACGCAAAATTCTTTTCTTCCAAATGACACCGCAAAATAAACCACTCGCATACACTACACAATTTTATAGGCTCTATAAACGACGGTACTGCCTTTGATCTAAATACCAACTAGCGCGCTGTCGCTACCGTATGTGTATGTATAAATCGCCTATTATCTTTTAGACCCAGATTAGGTTAACATTATTAAAGAAAACACGCCGGAATCGTACATTCTCTTGCAGTGGCCTTCATTGATGGATTTTAATTTAAATTTTGTCGGTCACCCACCTGCGTTAGTTGGGTTTTTTTAGACCAGCGACGTATGCAAAGACCTGGGAAGGTTAATTAACAGAACAATCATTTGTTTCTCATCCTGTTTTAACCGAGAGTGAACGAAAGACAGCAAGTTTTAGAGAAGCCAAACGCGGAAAAAAAAGATATGTCGGCCTAAAAAGAAATACACGAAGGGAACCTCAGAGCCGCGCACTTTCGAGAAAAAAACTATCAAAGCCACGCACTTTTTGACGATATCGAAAAAATTAGACAATTGCCTATTCCACCCAACGGTTACAGTCCCCTTGACATTATAATTACTCTGTGCAGCCTCCATCCAATTGTATTCGTCTTTCTGCAGACGTTAATCGACTTCCAGACTGTTTCTAATTCTATTAAGCTGAAACTAAAAACCCAGACCAAACAAAAAGGCACTACCAAGATTGAAGGCAGGGAGAATATATGTAGCAAGCAAATGTACGCAGTTGGATAAGTCTCACAACTTCAATTTGTATACTATGAGCAAGAAAATGCTGCCCCAACACTTTTAAGAGCGCCCCTGTCCTGTATATATTATTTTTATACCTGGAAAGACTATTCATTCAATTCAAAATCAAACTGATGTCTAGTTCCAAGCCCAGTAAAATGCTGACGGTGTACTCTTTTCTTTTTTTATCTTTTATCCTTTTGTTTTCTCTTTCTTCTTCAACGCCCTGTTTATATCCCAGTATCTCAAACGCTTCCCAGATAATATTAATGAGTCTACTTTTACCAAGAGCTCATCATCAATCCGGCGATAGGATCAGTATTTTGTTGTGTTATTGACTCTTTTGACTTTTGTCTTTTCCCCGTCTACAACCAGATCTACCCTAGATCATTAGTCGCGGATGCTCTGGTGTGGTCTGCTCCTTCATTTTTTCCTCAAACATCTGTCGCCTTATTTCTCTTCCTCCTTTTTTTGTGGGGTTTTTTTTTATTCTCTTGTAACAACTTTAATTTTCGGCAATATATATATATATATATATATATATATATATATATATATATATATATATATATATATATATATATATATATATATATATAAGATATTTTTTTAATTTTTGTAAAGGACCCAGGTTTGCCTCTGCTGTTATTATTGCTGCTATGTATTAGACATGCACTGTGCCTGATGCAGTGAGTGCACGGAATTCTATTAATATTAATATTAAGTCGCAGAATTCTGTGAGTGAGTGTGACAAGGGTGTCAAACCATAAGCGCAATAAGGCCTACAGTTCTTCAAGCTGTTCCCAGCACATCATATAGAGTCCATTGTCCACGCCTTTTGTGGACGAACGTGCTCAAAGGCAAACAAAACATTGCCCTAGTAAATGAGAATTTGCGGTATCCTTCCTTCATTAAAAAAATTGAACAGTGAACGATTTAAGACGAAAAGCAAGGACCTAGAAACGTGAAACAGGCTGGAAAGCAAAGGACGGAAACTTGCCCTTGATGAGAAACAAATGATTGTTCTGTTAATTAACATTCCCAGGTATTTGCATACGCCGCTGGTCTAAAAAAAAAACAACTAACGCAGGTGGGTGACCGACAAAATTTAAATTAAAATCCATCAATGAAGGCCACTGCAAGAGAATGTACGATTCCGGCGTGTTTTCTTTAATAATGTTAACCTAATCTGGGTCTAAAAGATAATAGGCGATTTATACATACACATACGGTAGCGACAGCGCGCTAGTTGGTATTTAGATCAAAGGCAGTACCGTCGTTTATAGAGCCTATAAAATTGTGTAGTGTATGCGAGTGGTTTATTTTGCGGTGTCATTTGGAAGAAAAGAATTTTGCGTAAAGCTTACGTTTGATAAGAAAGTTGCTACAGCAAAAGACCAAACGGGACAATTTGGACAACATGTACATGTACTTCCAAGACACCCTCTCCCGAAAACAATTATTATAATAGCCCCATGACAACCACCTGAGCCTGTACGAACGCAGTGGGAAAATGTATAATAACTTGCCCTTCAACCCTTTGTTAGTTTTAGTAAAGGTTTTACGCCACTCGCAACTGCATAAGGTCACATGAGCTGAGCGCCAAGGGTTGGATGTCAACAGAGAAACCCTTAGAGGGAATCGGGCTTATTCAGCTTCAACAGCACAAAGTCTGTTTCGACTGTCAAGGCACCCCGGAAATAGCGTGTCACAAGAGTGTGGAAAGAAAAAGCAGCAGTATCCTGTTGCAGTTCAGGCACAGTTATGAGCATGGCATTGATGAAAAAGACCATTTACAATTTACAATTCTACTCCGCATATTAAGAATATTATTTATCTCCCCCCCCCCCTCCTCCCAATCAACTGTCTTTTGTTTCTTTTAAGTCTTAAACATTTTACTTGTGAAGTGATGTGTTACTTTAAAAAAATAAAAACTTTTAGGCCAAACGATGGGTTAATTAATGAGACTCGTGGAGCAAGGGCTGCAGATGAAGGGAAATGACTGAGGAAATGGCTTTTGAGAGAATACTTTACAAACATTTATGTAACCTGGAGCCTTTATCATAGTATTCCATTTTATTATAACGTGTGAAATCTCCGTCTCTCCTGTCTATTCTCTGCTGCTTTCTTTTCTCTCTGTCTTTCTCTCTCTGTCTTTCTCTCTCTTTCTGTCCATCTGCCCCCCCTCTCTCTCTCTCTCTCTCTCTGTCTCTCTCTGTCTCTCTCTGTCTCTCTCTGTCTCTCTCTCTCTCTCTGTCTCTCTCTCTCTCTGTCTCTCTCTCTCTCTCTCTGTCTCTCTCTCTCTCTCTCTCTCTCTCTCTCTCTCTCTCTCTCTCTCTCTCTTTCTGTGTCCGTCTGTCTCTGTCTTTCTCTCTTTCGCTGTGTGTGTGTGTGTGCACACGCGCGTGCGCGTGTGTGTGTGTGTGCGTGTGTTTGTGTGTGTTTGTGTGTGTGTGTGTGTGTGTGTGTGTGTGTTTGTGTGTGTTTGTTTGTCTCTACTCTTTCTTTGTCTCTCGGTAGCACAACTACCACCATCGGGCGCTCTCGTGGTCTGGAGGTTCGATCTTCGCCTCTAATTCTATAGGTCCCGGTTTCGAAACCTAGCAGCGACGGAATATGTTCATCTCTAAATGTTTCTCCTTTCACCTCCTTTCCACATCTAACCATGTTCTGTCGTCTGCATTCGTCTCCACTTTCTGCCCCCACCCGACTCCCTTTGCCCCCTCCTCTGGACCCCTAACTGTTTCTGCAGCCTTTCTACTGCTACTCATTGGCCCCTTCTTACTACTGTCTTTCAGCCACACCCTTGATCTTTGGGTAGGTAAGATCTAACGGCTTATGACATTATGCAGTTGCGAGCGCAATTAACACTTGCCAAAAAAAAAGCAAAAATAGAAAAAAGCAGAAAAAGCAACCCACAAAAAACAAACAAACGAAAGCAAAAAAATAAATAAATAAAATAAACCAAAAACAAAAGCAAAAAGAAGAAAAACCCACAACCGACCATGTTGAGGTGGAGGTATAGGCGTTCTTGTTGTAGTACTTGTGGTGGTCGAGCCTTTCCCTCGGTTACTTCCCTTCATCTCCAACCCTTGCTTCACGAGTCAGATCGTTAGGCCTACATATGTTTTCACAATACCGTATTGCCTCTCAACTGAAATGTGGGATGGCTTACGGGGCCAAGCATAGTTAATTTTAAAGGTAGAACACAGAGTCACAATGCCAGAGGACTCCTCATTCATGGAGTAAATTCAATGTCATTCAATTAAGTATTTCATCAACAGCAACCCTCAATAAATGCTTGGGTAAGGGAGACAATGACCTAAAAAGGAGTAACTATGCAACAATGAACAGAACAACAGAAAAGCCGCTTTAAATAATGAAAAAAAAAACACAAGAAAGGAGTTTTATTCATAATAGGGGAAATGTTGCGATTCTTTGTATTCCTTGGGAAACATTTATTGATTTTTATCTAGAAACAACAAATTAAAATATATGTAAATTTAATCTGAGCAAAACCATAGTACATGTATAATTTAAATGTCCGCGCTTTATTTTTAAGCAAAATGGCGTTGCTTTATAGATATGTACGAATATAACGTAAGGTGATCTCAATCCACGTCACTTTACCTCTTTCAAATTCCTTCGGCATGCATCTCAACAAATGCGCAATCCATCGCCTTCCACATTGCTGTCTACAGCTGTAGGAATTTCTAGCAACAGTATTGAAAAACATTCTCAAACTCAGGGTCTTTCTTAAAGATGATTTTTGAAAGTGAAATGTTCAAAACCTCAGGGTGAATTAGCGGAGTCGATGATGATAGCCATGGGCAATACCGTGGTGAATAGAGGTGAATCGTGGATATTTTTGCTGGAGTACAGTTGCCATCGTCCGCGGTCTTCTCCAATGTCTTTACCAGACTTGGTTTTACCAGGCATCGTCCACGAGATAGGGAATCCATCATGTATCCTCAGACTCAGGCCAACAAGTCAGGAAAGTGGTATTTGAACAAAGACTAGCATTAATTATAGAAGAACAACATTAACATGGCAGAACTATTCTGTAAAGCTGACAAAGATTGCCAGTTCATGTTTTGGTGGGGTCTGCTACAATAGAACAGTTAAGGTAGAAGAAGAAGAAGAAGAAGAAGAAGAAGAAGAAGAAGAAGAAGAAGAAGAAGAACAAGAACAAGAACAAGAACAAGAACAAGAACAAGAAGAACAAGAACAAGGAGAAGAAGTAGAACAAGAACGAGAAGGAGAAGAACAAAAACAAGAGCAAGAACAAGAAGGAGAAGAAAAATAAGAAAAAGAGGGCTTGTCGTTAAAATGTGGGTCCATAATGTGTCTCGAACTCTATATTGGTCTGTCATATTCTTATGTCTAGATGCATAAATAATATTAATTGACAAATTTGATATAGTAAATCGAATCAAACTTAAGAAAACAAGTCGTTTAATTGCTGACAATGATATTAGATCTATATTGATGAACACTAATGAAAATTCTACATTCAGTCTAGATCAAAGGGGGGGGGGGGGACAATAACTTTATATATGGAACCAGAGACTATATAATTTATAGTCACTGATGGAACGTTGGGGTGATGCGCGGCAGGGAAGCTTGTCCACGTGGTTTTATGCACCCCGCATAATTTAGCAAAATTTGATCATTTTTGGCATAACTTCTGATTACTTTCCTTTACCATTCTTTGTTACAAATAACAGAATCGCATAATTTCACATTTTTTGGGCTCAGTTTGCAAAATTTCAGATTTTTTTCTTGCTTAAAGCGACGGGGACAGGTCCGAAGCATGTAGCCTAGCCGGTTTGGATGACCCGTTTCGACACTTGTCAAAACGGCCTGCTGAAACCGAAACGCGTGGCTGGTTAAATTGGGCCAGAACACTTTTTCCCAGCTGCAGGTGTCCGTTTTGGAAAGTCTCAATTTATTCATATTTCTATATTTTTTCAAACCTCATATTTATTGGGGACATGTATCATGCTATTTTATATTCATTAAGCATATAAAACAAAAATTAAAAATTTTGCATTTAGCCGGTTTGGGAATAACACCGACGATCTAATATGTTTCTATTCTATACATCTCTCTAACAGTTTTGGCGGCGAAAACGGTGTTTTCCATTATAATGGATTTTTTTTTCAAGGAAACAATAAGTGTGCGTATATATTTACTATAATACAACTCCACCATCACGTACATGTAATTTATTCAGATATTCTGCACATGGTGCTATGCATCTTTCCTAAATCCTCAGATAGTCAGTATACGGTTCAGAAACAACTTTTTATTCTTTTAAAGGCTGAAATGAATACTTCCATTTTGCATAAAGTCACTCAAAATCAACCCTTGAATTAGAAATCTATCTTGTGTACAGAATGTATAATATAAACGCGGATGAAGACGAAAAACAGCAAACAAGAAACAGCGCTCTCACTGGCTATGCGCAGTGATCTTCCCTTAGACACCGAAAGACCAATAATGGCGACTATCCAAGAGGGAGCTAATTTTCAGACATATCAAGAACTGATCGACGCTTTGCGTGCTTTTGAAAGAGACAATCATACTCTTTTCATCAGGGAAGGCAGCAAAAGGGTAAGGTGAAATAATAGGCCTAAAGTAAAATCCAATTTTGTGGTTTAACGATGTCAAGCTTGAGGGTGGATAGCGTTTTAGCTGAGAATGCGATCTCAGAACTGTGTCACTATCCGCAACACACTGTAGATAATGACTGTTTCTGGTTTTCGCCAAGATTCTATGTTTATTTTGTCAGATAACTAACTGTTCTTGTAGCTGAGTGTGGTGGGTGGTGCACGGGTGGATAATAATATTAATTGAGCCCTAAGCCTACTGCTTCTTTTTACTTGTGGCTGTGGATTTAAACACAACGTGTCGTAGTTCAAGCTCAGGGTTTGGAGTGTGTGCAACCAGTTTAGCTTCCCAGCCAGTGTAATTATGTGTAGTGTCGGATAAAATTCAACGTGGTATGCGTACGCTGTACTGTGAAGTCTCTATAGTGTACTGCTCGGCTCAGGGAATGAAATGGTAAATTTTTACTTTCACTCCCGCACACAGATGCACTGCTTCGGGGAGGGGGGGGGGAGGGGGGGTCAAACTGCAGTGTTGCAGGTCACATAAAGTATGATAAAAAAGCCACCAAAACCTTCGCAAATGAATTATTTTCAAGAAAATTTCAAGCAAATAATAAGGGTTAAAACAGGGGGGTGAAGGGGGGCGTCCCCCCCCCCCCTGTAATCCCACGGATTTTTTCAATCCCAGGGAGGCAGGCCCCCCTGAAACCCCCCCCGATTGGTCCAAAGCGCGCAAATTACTACGTGGTTAGGCATAGTGTGATAAAGCTCAATTAAGAAACAATTAAACGTTTAAAAAACTATAAATTTGCGATGGAAATGAAGTTGATATTCTCGTGATCAACGCATCAATAAATAGTAGAAAATGGACAACTGGTAGCTAAGTGAGACGGGAGGGATAGTAAAAGAATACCTCTGTGAAATTGTATGGGACACCTCTATGATTATTTTATATGTAAATAAATGCCCCCTATCAAAGGGGTTGGTTGTACCAGTACATGGCGGTGGGCACCTGGACCAAAATTTGGGTGGGGCTTAGGTGCTTCCAGTTCTTTACCACCAAATAGCAAGCAATAAGAATTAAACAGTGATGATTTTTCTATTCTCACGGCGAGCCACGGTATTTTGAGAACCATTTAAACGAGAAGAGTCACCTTTGTTTTCCATCTCTTTGTTCTTAGTTAAATTCTTGTTGATGGTGGGGACGAGGCCGATTCACCACCAAATTTCCTCTATTTAATCTTTATGTGATGAAAAGTTGCCTTAAAAGTGGTTCGACCTGATTTATAACTGTTAAATCTCAGCGACACAAACATACACCCACAGCACTTCAAACATAATACTTCTATGAGCTGGATAGGCCGTGTAGTCGAGAAAGTTGAACTCACCCAACAACAAAGAACCAATGGGCGCATAGGTATCTGTGTCAGTGGGGGAAAGTGTGTCGTAAACTTTCACCCCATTGTCAGGGCTAGGAGAGCTTGAGCCCTCGGTACAGTGTATTTTTCCCCAGTCTTCTATCTTTTTACAAGAAGAGTTTCATTAAGGACGGACCGTGAGAAAGGGCTCTGAGCCCTAAAGACATTTGATTGGCTGTTACTGTTAGGTTACTATAGTTGTAAGGGATAACCAGTGATTGGACTATAAACGAACAAGCCGCTAAGTTGATCACTCTGTGTTCATTGCGTGCGGTCATAACGGTTTCAACAGCTTATTTCATTTTATGGAGAAACTTTCATTTACTTTGGGTTAGAGTTGGGGGTGGTGGGTGGGGGCTCTGAAAGCCCGTGAGCCCTTCACTACCCACTGCCACTGGTTGGTACGTATAAAAAGCACAATTTACCCCAAAACTGCTTTATTGTGGCTGTTGTTGTTGAAGACATTATATTATATTATAATTTTAATTTCAGTCTTTGGTCTGGACTTTTTTCGTTGTTGTTGCACTCAATTTCAATGCTGGGTCTGTGTGTATGTAGGCCTACTTTATTTTTTTTAATCCAAGCCTTAATTTTACAGAAAACAATAGTTTTTCCTATTATCCGTGGGTTGTTATTACACTTATTTATATTTTTTAGGGGAGGGTTACATATGATATTATGTTTGAAGTTTAAGTAACAAGTTGTTATTAAGATTTCATTGCAAGTGGCTATTCCCCGGCGTTGCGCCGGTCAGTAGTTCGATGGCTATTCTCTGACGTCTCGTATAGTTGCACATGTCACTTCTCCACAGCTTTCCATCTATTCCCTGTTGGCACGAATAGACATCGATCTATGGATCAGCGCGACGCCGAAGAATAACCACTTGCTATTTCATTAAAATTTTAATATTGCAGACTTAGGCTTTGGGGGTTTTTTTCACTCGGTCTGACATAGAGTTGTTCAAATTTCAAGTTTGTTTTCTATACAGTTCAAAGGAGATGGAGAGGTTGCACAAAGACTGGTTTATGAGCTGCTTACTTTCGCCTGCAAACAAGGCAAGCGGCGACAGCCCACCAGAAGCACTGGTACAAGACCTAATCAAAAGTATGTAATGGTCATCAGATTTTTTATTTTCTTGAAACTTAAGGTTTTCTCTTGTGTGTAATTGTTTTTTCTGTAAATGTTTAGAATTTTTCTAGATTCCCACCTTTCTAAGCATATAAGTGGGAAGAGGTCATTTATTTGGAAAAACTCGAAGCACAATCGGATTCAAGGTAAATTAAAACTTTAAATTAGAGTAAGGCAAAAAAGAAAAAAGATATATATATATGAATATATATATATAATATATATATATATATATATATATATATATATATATATATATATATATATATATAGATCAAAGTAAGCTTTTCATTTTTGAGCCTGCTTGAAGGAGATGCACCTCCCTCCGATGTTTGGGTCTTTTTGTCTCATTAAATTAGGGGCCTTTTAATTTGAGACAATGGATGTTCAGAGGGAAAATTGGTAATTTGAGACTCAAATGAAAAAGTTGGTTGGATTTGCAGCTAATTGATTTTATAAAAACAAATTCCTGATTCGTTAGCTTTCAAAAGAGTTACATTTCTGCATTGTCAAAACTTTTGAAATGAAAAGGATCATTGATTATAACACGGAATAGAAAAGAATTTTGAGTTAATTCTGAAAGGTTACCCCTTTACGAATTGATACTTTTTTTCACAAGAACATTTTTTTTCCTTCACAACACAATTTTTGTTTTACATTCTCCCACCTCTTTCTTTAATGACCACCCCTTAAAATGCTTTTCTTTAAAAGTATTATGTGTGAATCTTGCCAAGTCGAACAAGTGTCAAATGAGTGTAGTGAGTGTTAATTTTATGTCATGTTTGAGTTCTTTTTAGTAGACTTTTTGAGTTTGTTTTTTTCTAAAGAATGGAAACAGATTCTCCTACACCTTCCTTCCTTCCTTCCTTCCTTCCTTCCTTCCTTCCTTCCTTCCTTCCTTCCTTCCTTCCTTCCTTCCTTCCTTCCTTCCTTCCTTCCTTCCTTCCTTCCTTCCTTCCTTCCTTCCTTCCTTCCTTCCTTCCTTCCTTCCTTCCTTCCTCCCTCCCTCCCTCCCTCCCTCCCTTCCTTCCTCCCTCCCTCCCTCCCTCAAGCACTGTTTATTTTAAAACACCAGGACCTTCAAAGTCGATTGTCCAGCGAGGATAAGAGTGGTGTGCAAAGAAGTTGAAGGACGATGTGTACTTCAAGTCAATAAAGCTGACCTGGAGCATGTGGGACACCCAGTTGGAGCAGAGGTAATGAGGTCTTTTAGTCTCAGAATTGCATGCAATTTATGGCCTTGTCCTAACTCACAAAATCTCATCCGATTATTTATTTTATGATTATCATGTTACAGTCCTGTATTGTAATTTTTGTTGTGGCTTTGGAATACATTTTTATCCATCTTCTTCTTCTCGATCGCATCACACTTGAAGTCCGGTATCTGTCATAAATTGGGCCGTCCTGCTCAGTTCATCTGGCGGCCCGTATAGCTTCTCTTGTTGCATCAGTGGGGTTGGCCACGTTTCCTGTCTCAGGGCCCTGTGTGTCTTGCAGTGCTGAAGGATGTGTTCAACAGTTTGGTCCGCCTCTCCACACTGGCATTTTGGTGATTGTACTAGTTTAAAACATTTGTACATATGTTGTCTCAGTCTTGTGTGTTGTGTCCTTAGTCTGAAGATAATCACTTGTTCTTGGCGGGACAGCTCATGGTAGTTATCTGGTGTCTGAGGTGCTTTAAATAGTGTATTTATAATAATTTTTATTTCTGTGTAGTTAACGCTGTTGTCTGGTTGCTCTTTTTGTGCTCCTAGTTTGGCCATCCTGTCTGCCTGCTCATTTCCCAAGACACCACAGTGTGATGGAATCCACTGCAGCATGATCCTCAGACATGGGATGTCCTCAATTTCTTTTCGTAGCCTTGGTAGTTTGCCGGAAGTGATTGCCTGCAGTACTGACATGGCATCTGTTAGGAATACTACTTGGCTTTGGGGGTCTACCACATTCTTGATGATGTTTGTTGCTTGTACTAGAGCCTCCATCTCTGCCCTGTAGTTTGTACAATGTCGCCCTGTTGGGACTGCCTCTGCTTGTCGTCGTCCATTTGGGAACTGTACGTACACTCCGGCTCCTCCTCTTTTCACAGCATCAGTGGCAGATCCGTCTGTATAGATCCTTATCTATGCTTCTCGTGGGTATCTTTCTTCAAGCATGGACAGGGTGAGGGACTTCTTGCTCAGGTCGCTGTGGTCATCTTTTGTGGTGAACATAGGAATGGAATTTTTATCCATAATCGACAGTGGAAGCTGCTCTTGGCTATATCTTTTAATGACCACTAATAATGACGGCACTGACTTCTTGCTCAGGTCGCTGTGGTCATCTTTTGTGGTGAACATAGGAATGGAATTTTTATCCATAATTGACAGTGGAAGCTGCTCTTGGCTATATCTTTTAATGACCACTAATAATGACGGCACTGACTTCTTGCTCAGGTCGCTGTGGTCATCTTTTGTGGTGAACATAGGAATGGAATTTTTATCCATAATCGACAGTGGAAGCTGCTCTTGGCTATATCTTTTAATGACCACTAATAATGACGGCACTGGCGGCTGTGTTATGAAAAGATTTATTACTTTCAGTCAGCAGTTTTTAAATGTAGTTGCGTAAATTCCTTTTCAGGAAACTCAAATGACATGTGCTAGAGTAGTGTAAATTTATGTTTCGAATTCCACTTGACTGTTAAAAAATCTTTGTCACCATGCATCTAGTTGCATGTGGACATATTCCTTGTAGTGGATGATCCAAGCAGCTTGTGGAGAAGTATGTGGTTTTGACTTATTGCTAAATTATTTTTTTTACGTCTAAATTTGGTTATTCATCATTATTTTACTAAATCTGTTTTCCTTATTACATAAATATAGTGAAACTTGGATTCAACAAAGTCCTCGGGCCTGGCCTTCAATTTAGTTAAATCCCAGTGCTCGTTATGGCAGAAATGGGGTTTTTGTACAGATAATGCAACGAGCAAGTAATGTATTTGACTTTCTCGATCAAAAGTAGTTTGATTTCAAATGAGAAGCATTTTTACTTCTTTGATACCAAAGAATTGCTGGAAATTTCCAGGAAAATACACTGAACTCTACCAAGTACACACTGTACAAAAGGGCCAATTTGTTCAAACAAACGCCTGTGTCATCTATCGTCTATCAACGTATTGTTTGCCAAACAAGTTATGTTGCATGAGCACTCTACTTGTAGTGGTATCCGTTTGAACAAAAATCTGTTGGATCGCCAGATTTTCTCCAGTTTAACTGGGTTTTCGGTTTAGTTAGTCTGGTCAAACAGAAGAAACATGTTCAGTTTAGAGGGACTCCACTGTACTTTGCAATCTGCTTATAAAGAAATTCTCTGGTCTATTAAGTTCATGTTATCAGGGTTTTACAGTATATATTCTGAGCTGTTTTTGTTAGTTGCTACAGCCAACTTTCGTGTTTTGTTATTTTTATCTCTCTCACTTTTTTATCTTTTCAGGCATTTGATCTGTATCCAGAAAATCGACGTTATGTTGCAGATGATGAGTTCAGACGTTTAGTGTTGGCTGGAACATCAATATCTGGACTTAAAGAATATATTTCTACAAAGTACAACAAGTCTCTCCGTAACAAAGATATTTACAATTACAGGCGGAGAATCTGTGCAGAAGCCGGAGGTGAGAATGGAGAAAGAGCTGAAAGGGATTCTCTTTTCATTTTCTGACTACAGTACAACACGGATAGGTCGATCACAGAAGACTTGAAATCACGCATCTGTCAAACTGTGCCTGCTGTCCCGGTTTGTTTGTTTTTCTTCTATTTGTAAGATACCCCCGAACTACAGATCCCTTGAACTTGAACTTGAATTACCGAGGCTGGTCCCGGCAAATTCGAGCTATCCGTGTTTACTGTATTTTCAGTCAATTGCTGTCATTGTCATAGCTTAAAACCATTTTTACATACATTATTCATTTACGCCCTGCAACTTTGTTTTGACTGATCCATTAGGCCTTACTTAATCTATTTAATTAGTATAGAGATATGGAATCTAAATCTACACTTCATCTATTTCTTCAGATTAAAATCTACCTGACTTCTTAAAACAATTGTCATCTTGCATCTGTTAGGAATCTATGTGGTCTACTGTATGTCACCTCTTGTGTCATACTGTGTATGTGTCTCTACTCTATGGTTGAAAAATCATATTACCATTTCATATGTGCCAGTTTGAGTTATTTACCTCTATGTGAGTCACCAATACAGTCTTTTCTACTTTCAAGCTTATTTTTCATCCTGTTCAAGCTTCCATTAAACTCTCTGACAATGAATTTCCGTGCTAACACCTGTTTTTGCCACTAATTTTGGGACAGGTGTACACCTGTGTTGAAGCTGCTGTTCACTACAGATGTAATGGGAACTTTCACGAAATAATCTTCATTATATACAAGAATGAGACATAGTGCCAGAGGGCAACCTAAACTTAAAAGTGGTCAAATACTTATTTGAAGCAAAAAGACCATCCAGTGTGATTACATGAACATTGATCTTTGGGCTGCCACCCGGGCAAAATTAAATATTAATTCCTACCAAAGCTAACTGAAAATGCTAAATATGGAAACAACCAACTTGGGTCCCACGCACTCATATGACCTTAGGTAGTTGCAATCCTCGTAAAACTCTTAACAAATCTAAAAAGCACCTGCATGCATCATTATCAATCTTCTTCAGATGTTTCTTATTAATTCTCTTCATCCAGTTTCAACTGGGGATTCCAACTCTCAAACGAAAGGCAAGAAACCCAAAAAACGGTAAGAATTTTTTCAATGTGCCCTGTTTCCATTGTAAATAATATTTCCTTATAGCTCTTTGGTGTATTCCTGTTCCTCTTCTTTTTTTTCCACTTCCCTTCAATTTTGTTGGTGTTGATTTTTGTTTTGTTTTGGGGGAGGGAGTTTGAGGGGGTGTTGAACTCAGTATACGTTTTGTATACCTGATGTGTGCGTGCGCCACCCTTGTAATCAAATTCATATTCCTCATTTAATTGCTTTCCTGTCATAGCAAGGTCATAGGCATTTTTGCATCGTGTAACAATAAACATTACCTCTCGCTAATGAAGTGAGTCTCCTTGTCTGTTTCTCTGTTTGTCATCAACAAAATTCAAAAGCAGGTGGTTTTTATTTCTGTATTACTGTTGTCTGTTCTCTTATCCCTTACCTTTTCACATTCTTCTCCAACAGTGTTAGAGCTCTCACGGCTACCTGTATAAGACAATCACTTGTGCAAATGGCCTCTTCCCCATTCCTCTCTTATGCATTTTTTACATTATAATAACACTGTTTAAGACGTCCATCTGTCTAGGACAATCGCTTTTCTCCTCGACAATGGGTTGCCTTCTTAGACAATTTTGACTACACAGTTTAGTCTGTTTACAGTTTAGCATGCATATTATAAGAAACACGATACATATCAAACGAATTTTGAAGTCCGGCATTTTTTTCTTACAGTTACAGTATATTCTTTGTTTTTAAAATACGTAAATATAAAACAAATTTTGAAATAACAAAAAGATTTCCGCATCCCACCAATTTCACTGTGTGTACGCTAGACTGTATATATACAGTCAAACCTGCTCTGAAGGCCCCATGTTTAAGACAGTTATCTGTACTAATGACCACTTCCCACATTCACTTGCGTTTGGGGTTTTTTCGATATTATAATGACACTGTCCAAAACGTATACCTGTCTAAGACAACCACTTTTCTCCTCAGCAGTGGGTGGCTGTCTTGGACAATTTCAGCTGTATTCTATCCTCATATGCATGACGCACCCCAATATATTATCTACCACTACTGCAGTTTATGTATTACTAGGCCTAATGTTCTGTCTTGTTGTGTGTATACATGAGTGCACTTAAACTTTGTAACATCTACTGCCATTGTAAATGACCAAAGACAAATTTCTCCCTGCGAGATGAATAAAGATTATCATTGTCGTTTTAAAATTTTTTTATTTATCTTTGAATTTGCACAGAATAAGTGGAACAGACACAACTGTGGCTGAACAAGTGGTGGCTGAAGTGCAGAAAAGACCACAGTTGTATGACTATCAGCACCCTGCCCATACAGACAAAGTGGCTGTGGAAGTCGGATGGGCAGAGATTGGACTTATCCTGGACATGACTGGTAGGTGGTAGTTTTTTTCTTAGTTGTTCTTCCAACTTCTCCTCCTGGAATAAACTTGGAGGGGACCGGATGAATATTTTTCAGCCAAGAGAAATTCTTATATCTGTGTAATATTATAGACTTTATTATAGGGTCTCTATACATGACTTCTTGTCTGTCCTGAGCATAGAATCCCGTTGTGTGTGGTTGGCAGCTTCTCTGGTGTGGATTGCTCCTCCTTTCCTGTCAAATACCAATCCTCCTTATCTCTCCTCCTTCTTTTATTTGAATGTCACTGTCTGGTAACATCTCAAATCACCGGCACTTATATGACCTATTTGTGTTATGAGTGCCGTAAAACTCTTACTTAAACTAAAAAAGAGTCTCTTGTGTAGTTCTGGTGAACTTATTCAAGGTGGCCCCTATTTTTAGTGATGAATAATTTATAGGGGGAAGGGATTAATTGAGAATTTTCCCAGGCTACTACATAACAAACTTGCTGCTCCTATAGCTTTGGATGGACCTGGTGTCTCCAGTGTGTGGTGCTGGGTGGTTGATCCTTGATCAGCCGCAACTCTTGACTGTGAGTGGTTGGCGAGTGCTCTGGTGTGGTTTGCTCCTTCTATTGTTTTATCTATCGTCTTTACATCTTTTTCTTTTTTATGCTTGTTGCCCTCTTGTAACACCTCTAATCTTTGGCACTTCTAAGGCCTAATTGTGGTTGGAGATAGACACACTATCCCGTCTGTAGGAGGTGAAACCCCTCCAATGACGGAGTGTCGCACACGGACCTCAACCCTTTGGGATCCGTGTGCGACGCTTACTTTGGTGTATCTTCCTCTCCTCCTTCCCTCTTTCTTTTTTCTTCTGTCTTTTCGTCCACTGCTGACCTCATGTGCAGCAAAAAGAGAGGTCATCCATCCCACAGAGTGGGTGCCTCATTGACCGTTAGGTGCGACCGGTGCGGAGGGAAACTGGGTACCTGGAGGTTGAGGTGAGATCAGTCTGCGGACTCCCTCGCCAACACACCTCTTTGGCCCAGGTTTTCCTCTTAGACGGGAGGGTGGCACTGCCCATGCCACCCAATCGGTTGGGAGCTGAAATCCCTTCAGTCTTGACGGGAGGGTCTTATACACTCTCGTGAAGAGTATAGCTCCGGGGTAGCCCTTGCACAGCTCTAGTCATCTGAGCAATGTTGGGCTCGATGGCGGGTGTGGAGCCCTCGAGTTGAAACAACACCTAAGCACATATTATGGAACCTTTTTCAATTAAAGACCCTTCCCCAGCTCCCAACGTTCTGAAAAAGTCTCAGCTCTCAGAAGCAGCTACGAATGTCCATACTCTGTCCTCTGGTGCACTCCTCATCAAGTGTGCATCGGATAGAGAACTGTCCGGACTTGAGAAGATCATGACCTTCAGTGGTATTCCTTGTTTATCTGAGCGACACAAAAAGTTCAACCAATCGAAGGGTGTGGTCCGCAACCATGAGCTGAAGGGCTGCTCCAACGAAAAAATTGTGGCTGACTGCGGGGATGTGGTCGAAGCCTGCCGGATTACTCTTCGGCAAGGGGAGACTACATTTGAAATGAAAACAATAATTGTTATTTTAGATTCATGGCGCCCTCCAGCCACTGTTCGGGCATCATACTTGGTCCTGGACGTGCGACCCTATGTGCCAAACCCTCTGCGCTGCTTTCAGTGTCAGAAGTTTGGCCATAACCAGTCGCGATGCCAACGTGCAGCCGTGTGTCCTCGCTGTGGCAAGACTGGGCATCCTGAGAAGGAATGCAAGGCTAATCCTTGCTGCCCAAATTACCAAGGCCAGCACACAGCCTTCAGCAAGGATTGCTCGACTTGGATCAGAGAAAGCGCAATCCAAGAGTACAAAGCGGGAAATGGCAGCTCTTTTCAAGAAGCCAGCAAAGCTGTCTGCTCGCCAGTCTGGAACCCAATCCCTGGCCGGTCATATGCGAAGGCAGCCTGGCCAGTCACAATGTCAGCCTCTACTGCCAACTTCCCAGAGCCCGCGGTCAACAGGTGAATTTGTGCACAAAGGAAAAAGGTCCCTACTATCTCCGTAGCACCCACCTTTGAGGTGCCACTGTCTAACCGCTTTGGGGTTCTAGGGGAGGATAGGGTGGACTCTTCCTCTGCCCCCTCTTCCCCCCCCCCCCCCCCCTCTTCTATGCCTTCTTCTTCTTCCTCCTCCTCCTCCCGCCCCACCCCTCTGATGGAGTGTGAGGTGCCCCCTCTCCCCCCTTCCTAGTCCCCTCTTTCTGCTCGATCTCCCCATACCCCTCCAGCAGACACCCCCCTTCCGATGGAGGATGACAGCTCCGATCCCCCTCCCTGGTCTGTCACTGGGAGGGGTTGAGCTTGTCACTCCTCCCCCAAATCCCCCAATAGGCTGCCTCCCAATCCAGGATGGCAGCCTAGAAAACCTTCTGCCTCCCGGCAAGGAGGAGTCAAGAGTGTTTCTTCGAAGCTGGGGCCAATGAGCTCCAAAATAAAAAAGTCTTCATAATGTAATAGGCAGTCCTGCAATGTTCACAGATGGCTCTGAGTCGGACTCTGCTGTGGGCGCCGCAGCCCTATCTTCAAACAGTACACACCAGAGGAGACTCCATCCCGAAGCCTCCATTTTCTCTGGGGAGGCCACTGCCATTGACATGGAACTGGACTCCGTAGAAAATTTTCCTAACAAATCTTTCCTTATCCTGTCTGACTCTCTGTCTTGCATCACCTCACTTACAATCTACACACTCTTACACCCAAAAATAGTTAGGTTATAACAAAAAATACACGCTTTGAATGAAATCTGGGAAAAATATAGTGTTCGCATGGCTATCTAGCCATGTGGGCATCCGAGGAAAGGAGCAGATGGATCTCCTGGCAAAGGAATCCTTGTCCCTTCTGTTGGGATCAGCAACAAACACTCTCCCACAGACTGACTTTAAAAATAAAGTAAAAAACTACACCTCCAGTATGTAGGAGATGCATTGGACGAATCAAACCAACAAAAAACTACACAACATTAAGCCTAATCTTGGTCCACGCAAACCTTCGGGCCTCTCCAAAAGAGACAAAGTCATTTTTACTCGTTATGCATCGGACACACGTCCCTGACACACAAATACCTCCTTCAGGGATATAAGGAGCCGTTCTGTGTTGGATGCGACACAGATTTGACCATTAGACGCATTATAACAAAATGTCTAGACTTCGGAGAGACCCGAAGGAAATATTTAAATGCCAAAAATTGCAAGATCTGTTTTCCGTCGTTGATCCCAACAGAATCCTTGATTTTGTAAAGGCCATTGGCTTTTACGAGAAATTGTAAATACAGTTACTATGATTTTAAACAGGTTATCATTTTTAGATTGTTATTAACAGGTTATCATTTTTAGATTGTTATTTTAACTCAAGTTTTTAACATTTAAAAAATCTGATGGTTGACCCAAGCCAAGCTGTGCAGTGAACTGTTGTGAATGTAACCAACTTGTGTTTCGCACGCTCATATGACCTTATGCAGTTGCGAGCGCCGTAAAAACTCATACAAAAACAAAAAATGAAACAAAACTCTTGACCTTTTTTTTAAATGTATGAAATTTATTTTGAGATTGCGCTGAAACTGAAGGATATTAGATTTCCCCTTGGGTACGGGGAGAGTTTTTACATGGTTTCCTTCCAGAGTGTACTAGTCCCTGATTCACACTTGAAATCAGTGATACTAAAGCAGTGTATGCAGGGGTAAGACAAGCTTTACCTGGAGTGAACCCTATTATTAATTCTTTTGGGGCTCTTGGTTTTGAAAAAGGTTTCAGAGGTGAAATGAAAAGAAGATTTTTGAAAGACTAGGATTAATTTCCAGTTGCATATTTTATGTACAATGGAGTCCACTTAAACCAACCACATTTAGTCCAAAAACAGCGGTAAGCCATAAGTAAATTAAAAGTAACCCCCCCCCCTTTTTTTTCTTTTTTTAGCAACCTCTCTATGCCAAAGAATATGTGGTGGTCTGGCCAATTTCAGTTTAAGTAGACTCCATTGTGGGTTTTTTTGTTGTTGTTTTTTACTGCAGATAGTGTAATAATGTAAGAATTTCTTTCTCCTTCACCAGCTGAGAATGCCAAAAATATGTGGAACAAGCTACAGAGAAGTTACTTGAGATTCAAAGCAAAGCAGGCGTCTAGTGAGCGTGGCATGGTGAACACGTTTCACTTGCAGGAGCAGATGGCATTTCTAGATCAGCATATAACCGTGATCTGCACCGAAGAAAACCCTCAGGTGTCTTTCGAACTGGAAGAGGTTGAGTTTGATGAATACGCCCATGTTCAAAAATGTGAGGACGCATCTGGTGCAATGGTTGTGAAACCATCATTGCCCTCAGGGGGAAGCTCCTCTGTCAGAGCTCCCTCCGCAGGTACAGCTGTGATCAAACATTCACCTCCCAAAAGGATGAGTGACCCCTTCGATTCTGCGTGGGAATCACGATTCAACAACCGTGACCCTGATCTAGATTTTCTACAAGGTTTGTTGCCTCAAATCAAGGAACTGTCTAAAAGCAGGAAAAGAGAATACTTCCATTCAATTTCATCAATGCTGTTTACTTGTCTGAAGGAGCAAGATGAGGCCTCTACGTGAACATATTTTTTTTTCATTTTGTAGCTTTAATCTTTTATGAATGGATATTATAATAAAATTTGAAATGATACTCGTAAATATGCTTTTGAATGGTTTTTATATGCTGGGAAACATATAATTCTCTCTTTGTCTTGTCACCAAAAACATACCGCCTTTTGCATTCCTTTCAATACTTCTATATATAAATGTACACAAAATACTTGTAAGCAAACACTGAGGTTTTTAAGGTCAACTATGGAGAGTTGTGGTTTTCCATGTGTAATGAACATAGATCAACAAACCTGCTGCATAGCTGTATAATAATAATGTAATAATAATAATAATGGATTGTGTTTATAGAGAGCATATCCAAACTCGAAAATAGGCTTAAAAAGCTTTACAAATGACACAGGCCTCAAAGCCATACCTTTTATCACATTTTCATCTGGTAGTCATTCTGTGCTGAGCATTTATCCTTTAAGACAGTTAGATTGATAATAATAATAATAATAATAAATAGCATTTATACTGTGCATTTCCATTTCCTAAAAGATGCTCAATGCGCATTACAATGAAAAAGACATCACATCTTAAAAATTAATTGACACAAATGTGTACGTAAAACAAAGTATTATACATATAATATAAATGCATATGTGTAAAATTTTATACCAGAAAAACAGTCTCGCAGTGAGGTTGAAAATGTGTTCACTAAAAATATACAATGCAATATAAATTCACGAACAGTCAAAATACAGTTGAAACGTGAGTAACTAGAAACATTCATTAAAACATTAATTCTATACAGATAGAAAAACATTTCCACTCTATCTCTCTCTCTCTCTCTCTCTCTCTCTCTCTCTCTCTCTCTCTCTCTCTCTGTCTGTCTCTCTCTCTCTCCCTCTCTCTCTCTCCCCTCCCTCTATCTCTCTCTCTCTTTCTCTCTCCCTCTCTTGCTATCTCTCTCTTTTCTCTCTCTATCTCTCTCTTTTTCTCTCTCTCATTCTCACTCGCTATTTCTTCAGTCTCACAGTCTGGCATACACATGCATATATATCACAGTACATCATTATGACAGGTATGCTTTTGTGAATAAAAAATGCTTCAGCTGATTTTTGAAAATGGAAATTGTTGGGGCAGATCTTATTTTATATGGGATTTCGTTCCATACCTGGGGACCAAAGAACAAAAAGGAACGCTCGCCGTATTTTTTGTAGTTTTGTTTTGGAGTTTTAAGAATTAGATTGTCAGAGGCTGATCTAAGGGCTCTAGGTGGATTATATAATTCCAGGAATGTTTTAAGATAAAAAGGTGCACTATCATTTATACATTTAAAACAGAGAACGGCAGTTTTGTATTTAATCCTTTCTTTTATTGGCAGCCAGTGTAGTTCTTTCAGAATTGGTGTTACGTGGGCTGATTTCTTTTGTTTCATTATCAATTTTGCTGCTTGATTTTGAAGTACTTGTAACTTTGATAGTTTTTCGGATGTCAAACCGGACAAAATAACATTACAGTAATCTAACTTTGATAAAATGAGTGTTGTTACAAGTGTCTTGGCTGCTGCTTTAGTTAAATAATTTCTTACACTGCCAATTTTCTTAAGCTGAAAGTAAATACTTTTGCTGAGCTGGCTTATTTGGGAGGACATAGACATATCATAATCCAACTGAACCCCTAGATTTTTAAGACTTCTTTTTGAACGAATGGTATGGTTATTAATATCAATTTGTAGCTCTGGGAGATTTTTAATGGCTTTTGTATTTCCACTCAACATTATTTCCGTCTTGTCATCATTTAGTTTCAATTTATTGCTGGTCATCCATATTTTTAAATCTCTAGTACATTGTTCAGTAGAGTCGACTAAAAGTGGTATTTGATCGAAATCAATAGACTTATAAATTTGAGTGTCATCAGCATAAAGATGGTAATTCATGCCATATTGTCTTAAAATATCAGCAATAGGTTGTGTATACATTGTAAACAAGACAGGTCCAAGAACAGACCTCTGAGGAACACCACATCTAAGCAAAACATTATTAGAACACGTGTTTCCAACCACAACTGCTTGTGTTCGATCCTTAAAATATGACTCAAACCATCGCAGGACAGTACCCTTTATGCCAAAAGTAGTATTTAATCTCTCGAGTAAAATACCATGATCAATGGTATCGAATGCAGCCGAAAGGTCCAAAAGAGTAAGAAGACATACCTTTTTTTCATCAATATATTTTAAAATATCAGTACAGACCCTAAGTAACGCTGTCTCGGTACTATGGTGTGCCTTATATGCTGACTGATAGACTTCGCTAAGATTATTTGCTTTAATATGATGTAACAGTCTATTAGATACAACTTTTTCAAGAATTTTGGAAAGGAAAGAAAGATTTGAAACTGGTCTAAAATTTTTAAAGTCCTTTTCATCAAGTCCAGATTTTTTCAAAAGGGGTCTAATATGGGCTGTCTTAAAGCAATTTGGTACTGTGCCTGTGAGGAGAGAATCATTTATAATTTGGGTGATATGTGGAAGAAGTTCATGCAAACATTTTTTTAAAAGGCTGGTGGGCATAGGGTCTAAGGCGCAACTTTTTGATGGACTATCTAATATGATCTTTTTGATTTCTTCTTCCGTTGCTGGAGTAAAATAATCGATGACTAACCCTTTAAACTGATGGTAATTTGGGGCAATTGCGCACATTTTATCGAGCTCTTGTCTGATGGAGGTGATTTTTCTAGAAAAAAAGTCTGAAAAACTACTACAAAAATCTCTATCGGTGCCAGGGGGTAATACAGCTCTGTTTTGGTTGCCAAGCAGTTCACTAGAGACATCAAAAAGTTCCTTACAAGTTTTAACATTTTCAAATTTTGACAAAAAGAAAGTACGCTTGGCTTTGGTAATCATTTTACTAACAGAATTCTTCATAGTAATAAATATTCCTTTATGCACTTCAAGTCGTGTTTTTCTCCATTTTCTTTCCGCTTGTCTTTTTTCTTTTTTTGCAGCCTTTATTTCTAAATTAAACCACCTACCAACAGGTCGATGAGATAATTTTCGTTTTTTAACTGGAGCATGATCATCTAAAATATTCCTCATGATGGTATTGAGGGTTTCTATATTAAAAGGGGAACTAATAGCAAGAGCATCACGAAAGTCACATTGAAACTGGTGTAAATTTATATCGTTCAGATTTCGGGAATTAACTGTTTTTATTTCTTTCCTTGGTCTTTTGATGTTCAAGTCAACAATAAGAAGATAATGATCGGAAATGTCTTTGTCCAGAACGTTTATGCCTTTCACACAGTTCTTTTCAATAGGAGAGATAACCCAGTCTAGGATGTGCTGACTTTTATGTGTTGGTACTTGTACGAGTTGTTTTAAATCATTTTCTGTCAGCAGGTTGCTTATATTTTTAGTGACAGGGTTTTCAGAGCCAAAATGAAAATGAAAATCGCCAGTTATAATGAATGGTGTACTTTTCATCTTCAGAGATGAAATTAAATTTAGAAATTCCTCTATAAAAACGGATGATTTGATCAATTGGCTATTCAGCCGACAAGAAGAGCTTGTAGCCATGCAGCCATCTAATTGGTCATGTAGCCACACGACAATCTCTTCTAGTATGTAGCCAAAGAGCCCTCAAACAAAGATCATAATCATCATATTGTAGTCATTCAACATGTCTCAAAGCTATACAACTGTCACGTCATGCTGTCATGCTGAATATGGAGCCAAGTAAATAGCTTTCAGATTATTCTGTATCCATAACTCTATCAAACAGCTTGAAACCCTACAGCAGTCAAATTGATGTAATGTACACATAATTTGACAAGTAATTGTCCAGCTGATCGTAAAGCCATGCTGCCATCAGGCAGACAGTGTGTCTACACTCTACACAAGTCATTCAGAGTGAGCCTCTAGCCATAGTCATCAGACTACGCATGAAGACACTTTAACTATCAGGCTACTGATGAAGCCATAGAACCAACATGTTGTATTTATAATTTAATATTGAAAGAGCAAGTTTCTGGAAATATGTGCATATTATACAACAAACTGTGTATGGTGTCTATTGCAACATGATAAGACCTTTGCACGAATTGTGTTCTCAATGGTACATGTATTTTCATCCTGAAAAATTGTAGCCTTTACTTTTCAACCTGAAATTGTGGCCTCTTCAAAAGGTACAACAAGTGTCCTTTTGGAATTTTGAAGCTTGACGTATTGCGCCATTAGAAACATTATTTTTACATCCCCGTTGACACAATTTAGATAATTTAGAAGGCAATATTTGACCCTGCATATCAAGGCCAATCCTAGTTTAGAAGGATACAACATCCCAGCAGAAAGACTGAGATACTCAGGAAAAATTCTCCCCACTCAGGAATCGAACTACTGTGAGCAACGGTGAAGCACCTAACAGCTCCATCACTCTATGCAGATAACAATATTTCATTCGTCAAAATTCTCAAGGAAATTTGTGTTTATCTGAAAGGTGCTGTCTTTTCATGGTGAACACTATAGGCTTTTTTTTAGCACAATTGGAAATGAGACTTGACAACAGGAATAAAATGGTGACGTGATGCTCACATTTTGAGTTGGTCTTCTGGAGAGTGAGGCTCATAGTATACCGATACTTGTTTTTTGCTTTGTTGATATATAACATAATATCATGCAATACAACTCTACCTACGAGTCTGTCCACAACGGTTTCTCAAGATCAATAAGTGACTGTTATTATAGTCAAATGGTCGCTATAGACGGGGTCGGAGTTATCATCACTTACTTGCATGAAAATGGATTCTCATGTGGTGGGCAAAATGGTGGAATAAAGCATCAAAAACATATGTGTTAAGAGTAAGGGCTTTAAGGAATGCCTGCAGACTCCAACTCTCCTTGTACAGGCTACCATAATGTAATAATAATCATCATAATTATAATAATATTATATAACTACATGTATTCACATTATAACATAACACAAGTGAAAAGAAAAATAAATACGTGACAGATGCCAGTGCGTCATGCTGCCTATCTAATATTATGACTGCCTGCCTAATATTATGACTGCACGCCATTTACTGAGGTCAGCTGCAGTGCT